CTGGAATTGGAATTACTTTCCATACTTTGCATCTATTCCCCCAATATGGTCGGAGAAAGAATAACCTTTTTGCTGAATCTAGGAACACAGGTACCCGAAGGCATCTCATTAGTTATAGCAGGGGATTTTAACCCCACCCCCGATAGGAGACTGGATAGATGGAACCCTCAGGGGATCCCCCCTTTTGCTGTCGACGAAGATGAGCGAATGGTAGCAGAACTGTGCGAAACTCTCCCCGCCTTCGACTCCTTCCGCCGTCTGCACCCAGAGAAGGTCACAGGGTGTTGGTACATTGTCCTGCTGCAGCATGGGGCCAGAAGAATGATCTTTGGCATAAAAGAGATTGCGGACAGTTTGGTGTGGCAAGAAAACAGCATCATTATGTAAGAAATCAGTAACATCAGTCATGGCATGGACCATGATGCCGTTATCCCACAACTTCCAGTGGTCAGAGGTATGTATGTATATCGCCCAACAGAACTGCTCGGTAAACCGTCAGCAGAGAAGGAGAAGAGGACAACAAACGAGGGGCTGTGAAGAACTGTTTCGTCGGAGTTTCATCGACTCATATAACGCTATATTGACGATATATATCATCAAACAGAGCTGCACGGTAAAACATAGGCAGAGAGGGAGAAGAGGACAAGAAACGAGAGGCTGTGACAAACTGTTTATATATATATACATATATATATCCATCTGGTGTGGGTGAGTGATAGCCTGCTTTGATTTTTGTCACGGGTTCCTTAAGGGCAGTGGTTGGTGCCCACCTCAAGGTATCAGTTGTGGGGCAGTCATTGATGCTTAACCACAACTGGGGTTAAGGTGGATTATCACTTACAGTGTAATCAGTTAGGGGATTCTGCAGACTGTTGAGGGTTCAGCCTGCTGACGAGTCCATGAAACTCCAACGAAACAGTTTGTTAGAGCCCCTCGTTTCTTGCCCTCTTCTCCCTTTCTGCCTACGGTTTACCAGGCAGTTCTGTTTGATGATATATCGTCACAAACAGAACTGCCCGGTAAACCGTAGGCAGAGAGAGAGAAGAGGACAACAAACGAGGGGCTGTGTATATTGTCACATAATATATATTATATATTGTCACATAATATATATATATATATAATATATATATATATACTCCAACGAAACAATTTGTCACAGCCCCTCGTTTGTTGTCCTCTTCTCCCTCTCTGCCTACGGTTTACTGGGCAGCTCTGTTGGACTATATATATCGTCAAATAGAACTGCCCGGTAAACCGTAGGCAGAGAGGGAGAAGAGGACAACAAACGAGGGGCTGTGACAAACTGTTTCGTCGGAGTTTCACCGACTCATTTGTCACATAACTATGAACTAAAAGAGCGCAATTTGCGAAACAAACGGTAAAAAAAAAGAAAAAAAGA